GAGTTGGTGGAGTGCAATCTGTCTGGGAAAATCCCTTCTCTAGGCTCTGCTCAAAGATATCTTTAGGCGACATTGATGTTGAGGAAGGAATTTGCGACCGCCCGTGCTCTCCACCTGCTGGGGCTTGCAGGGGTGTGTGTGTGGGGGTGTGTTTGGGAGTCTGTGGGGAGGGGGCTGGGTGGCAGGGGAATCTTCCCTGTTCGCCCATTCGGATAAGTGAAACTTACCTTACCTGTTTCCAGAATACCAGCCATTGTCCTGCCCCAGCTCCCGGTCACCCTGTGGGCTCTGGAGAATTTTGTGGAAGAACACCAAAAAAAAAAATGTCTTAAGTATTTAAACATGTCGGACCATGCATGCATCCATCCCCGGCGTTGTGGGTTTTTTTCTTTTCTTTTCTTTTCTTTTTTTTTTTTTTGGTACCCCCCCCCCCTTCCTCTCCTTTTCTTTTTACCAAAGTATATTCATCAAACTGCTGAGTTGGAAAGATCTGTAATGAGTTTTTGAGCTGTATGACTGTGTTTTTTTTCTCTCCCCCCTTCGTCTTTCTAAATCTTCATCTGACATTAAATAAAGCAAATCCCAAACAGATTAACTGTCGTACGGTTCTGCTCCGTCTCCTCAGTCTGTTCCCAGGTCTGGCTCGGGGCCGGGCGGCGGCGGCGGCGGTGGCGGCGGCGGCGGCGGCGGCGGGAGATGCCTGGGCGGCCAGCAGAGGTCCATGTGGCGCGCTAGGTGGGATCCCGGTGTCCTGAAGGCAGAGGCCCTGGCCCTCCTGCCCTGCGGCCTGGGCATGGCGTTCTCCCAGTCGCACGTGATAGCCGCTCGGAGACACCAGCACAGCCGGCTCATCATTGAAGTGGACGAATACAGCTCCAACCCCACCCAGGCCTTCACCTTCTACAACATCAACCAGGGCCGCTTCCAGCCACCGCATGTGCAGATGTAAGTGGGCAGGTCTGAGTGGGACCGGCTGCCTGGGGTGGGCTTGCGGACTCGGGGTGCCTCCCGGCCTCTGGGCCCAACGGCTGAGGGTGCTTGTTGGCCAGTGTGATTCTGGAGGCTCCGAGTCGGGAGGGATGTGTGGGACGTGGCTGGGACGGGCTGGAGGCCGGTCTGGCTCCGAGTCCTGTTTCAGTTGGCCAGGAGATGCTTCACAAATATTTGACAATGAGGTGATGGCACATAAAAATCCAGACTTCTGGCTTTGCTTTAGGAACCCGCAAGTCCTGGCAGCTGCGGGCCCACAAGGCCTCATGGCGATGTCTGGGGGGCTGAGCTCCAGATGCCCCCTCTTGGGATTTGGGTTGGTGACTCCTGGTCTAATTCATGTTCCTCATTGTACAGCCGGGGAGACTGAGGGCCCGAGAGGGAGGGGCCTTGCTCCGGGCTCCAGGCAGGTTGGGACCCTAGTTTTGGGCTGGCTGTCTTCCCTGACCTCTACCTCTTTCTTTTGTCCAGACCCCTTTTGCTTCTATAAAGAAGGCAGAGATGCTTTCCTCACGGACTGGGGAGTCCTGCCGCCTGCCCGCTAGGGCTGATGCAGAATTCCAGGGATGTCCCAGCAGGAAGGCCAAGGCGAGGGCACAGATTCGGGATCCCCTGGGACTGGGAGGAAACTTTCCCCTCCCTGGGTGCTTTTCTGAGGTCTGGAGAGGCAGGGGAAGCCCAGGGAGGAAGCGGCTAAACTCCCGGCTCTGCCCCAGGCAGCTCCTAGAAGACCCTCCTCCTTCTTTATACCCGACTTCTTCCAGGGCTGTGAGCACCAACTCGAGGGAGCAGTGTTAACCTGGGGGCCTGGTGGCTGTCCCTTTGAGGAGACTGGAGAATCTGGCTCGTGGACCACTTGGGAGAAGGAGGCCAGGGGGTTTCCATTCCCAGGCCAGGAGGTTGGGGGTGGGCAGGTCGCTGCCTCTGGTTCCCATGTGGCTCCCTCAGGAGCCGCCCTCTGTTGGGAAGTGTGAGTGCGGACAGATTCCTCATGGGGAGAAGGGCTCTGGAAGGCAGGCAGGCACCAGGCCTGGGGTGCGCTCCAGCGCTGGGCATGCACCCTCCCCTTGGTGCTTGCTTGGGAAAACGCTCCTTTCTGTGGGCACTGAGGCCTGGTGTTGTCAGTAGCTGCCTACTTTATTTTTTGGCACATTTCTACTTGGGGAACTAACTGCCTCCTATTTCCATTTTGGGGGCCATATTGGCAGGTTGGGTCAAGACGGAAGGTCCAGGTTCGTAGCATTCGATTTCTTAGTGGTGGGGACCTTGAGGCCTGGCAGGGCCGCTGCAGGGAGGGAGACCTTCCCCACGCCGGGTTTTGTCTTTTGTCCATGGGGTTAGTCCTCTGGGGCTGGAAGTGACCATGCCTGGGGTCCCCGGATGTTGGGCTGGACTCCTGCTCCAGCGGGGACGGGCAAGAGCACCTGGTGCAGGCAGAGCAGGTGGGGTTCGTGTAGCCTGTGCCCCTGCCCCACTTAGAAGGGTCCCCGGGCACCGGAGATAATGTCGTGTGGCACCGTGCAGAGCTGTCGCTTACAGGGCCCCGCAGACACCCAGCAGGCCCCAGCCCCGGAACAGAGCTAGGGGAACAGGAGGTCAGAGGGGAGGAGGCCTGCCCCACGCCCATGCCCATTGCACCCGGCCTGCTCCACGCGGCCACCTCCCAGGGCAGGGGTTCCAGGCTGCCATCGGCAGTGGGGCTCAGGGGTTTGGGCAGTGAGTGCCCCGGGAAGAGCATGCACCGAGCCCTGGTTCTGGGCTCCTCGTCCAGTGCTCCCTCATTGCCTGCTCGGGCCAGCTCCGGCTCTGAGACGCAACTTTGCATAAAGCCGGGGGAAGCCAGGGCCAGGCAGGGATTGGGGGGCTGTTTCCTCCCACCTCCCCTTCTTTCAGACTGCAGGCCCCCAGCACAAGGGAAGTGTGAGGGCTGCCGATGGTGGCTGTGCAGGTTTCCATGGCGAGTCTCCATCGCGGGAGAGACAGGGAGGATGGATGCCGCTTCCCGACGCGTGATTTATCACTGCCCTGGGCTTTGTTCTCCGGGGTGAGGGATCGAGGGGGCCGTATTTAATAAATCCACAATTTATATTCAATAACAACAGTGACAACCCAAACGTGGCCCCCGATTGAGCCGTGTGATTTATGTGGTTGCCCCAGAGACCCTGGGGGTGATGAGGCTGCCTTTGCCTGAGTAATGAATCTCTGGATCTGGACCTCTGGGTTCAGGGCCCCCAGACCAAAGATCCCTCACCCTGAGGGCCTAGAAACCCTGTGGTGGCCTAGGGAGAGCCCCTCCAGGTGCCAGCCCTTCTACCCCGGGGGGGATGGGTGGATGTGTGGCCCCATGACCGGTGAGAAGTCTTGATGGGCAGGGATATCGTGACGGTCTGCCTGAGAGGTGCCTTGGGGGCTGGTGTCAGGCATAGTGACTCTTCTCGCTGACCTTTAAAAAGAATCCTGTTGGTGGAGACTCGAGTCATCCCATTTAAAGACCCTCCAAGCACATCTTGAAGAATGTAGCAGAGAGGCGCCTGGGTGGCTCAGTCGTTAAGCGTCTGCCTTCGGCTCAGGTCATAATCCCAGGGTCCTGGGATCGAGCCCCGCATTGGGCTCCCTGCTCCACGGGAAGCCTCCATTTCCCTCTCCCACTCCCCCTGCTTGTGTTCCTGCTCTCACTAGCTCTCTCTCATCAAATAAATAAATAAATAAAATCTTTAAAAAAAAGAATGAAGCCAAGTGGCTGGAGCATGGCTGAGCCCGGCCTGGAGCTGCCCCTGTGTGCCGGGCTCCTGGACCTCCCAGCCGTGCCCGGTCAGTGAGTTCATCCCCTCTCCGATGCGCTGAGGTTTCAGAGGGCACCCTGTGGTCCCAGCCCGTCCACACACTGAGAGGCCCCCAGAGGCGGTGGGGGTCAGCCTTGAGCCCAGAGAGGATGGAGGGGCAAGGCAGGAGGAGAGGCCAGGCCTGGAACATTCCGTGCCTCCTCCTGCCTCAGGTCCCTGCGTGTGCTGTAAGTGCTGTCGCTTCTGCCTCCCCCTCGCTTTGCCCTGGTAACACGGACTGATTCTTCAGATCTCACCCAGCCGTCACTTCCTCGGGAAGGCTCCCTGATGGCTCGCCAGACCAGTTCTCCCCTTCCCTCAAAGCCGGCCCCAGCTCTAGGGGCTCTCCCTGCCACCAGCCTGGGGCTGGGCCCTGGAGCCTAGCACAACGGAGAGATAGAAAGAAGAAAGAAAAGGGAGTGAGAATAAGGCAGGGAGGATGGCCCCAGAAGAGTGGAGGGAGATCAAGGAGGGGTTCGTGGGGGCAGCGGCATAACCCCTGGGCTTGAAGGACCAGCAAAAGCAAAGGCGCAGAGGTGGGAAGGAAGGGCAGGCTCAGGAGGGCAGCGTGGTGGGGGTCACCTCAGAACGAGGGCCTCGTGAGAAGAGCACCGGGCATTTGTGTGACACTGAGCTAACCAGTCACTGCCTGGGTCTCCGTTTCCCCAGTGTGGAATGAGGGGAAGGGATTGGAAGGCTCTCCCATTCGGGAGCACCATGGCTGATGCGCAGTCACTTGTCTAGACATGTGGTTGGAACCTCACTGAAGGGAAGAGTCCTCTGCCCCCCCAGCGGCCCCCCATCCTTCAGAGTTCCCCATTTCCCCAGAAGTAGAGATGACGGAGGGGACGGCCTCTGTGGAGTTTCTGCACTTCCAGGGAGCCAGTGGCTCATGGGAGGGGGAGCCCCAAGAAGAGCGCCAGGGCCCAGGAAGTGGCTGCAGGGGGCACTCACATCCAGCCTTTGAGCCTCAAAGGTCCTTGAGTTTTCACACCTTCTCCCAGAGTGAGCAGGATGTCCCCACCTTACAGAGCTGGCCTGGAGGGTGGGAGGGTCCAGGGCACAGCGAGGAGGTGGCCCAGTTGGGGTGCAGGCCTAGTCCGGGCGCCGGAGGCCATGTTCTCTATTCTGCGCCCTTCCTGCCGCCGTGATCCCTGTGGGAATATCCCTTGTTAGGCAGGGGAGAGGTGGCGACAGGTTTCAGGTCTTGGAGAGAAAGCTGCAACTGTCACCTTGTCTCTGGACCCTGCAGAATGTCACTGGAAAATAACCATTTTGCTTTGTTTTCTCTTGTCACAGAAGGTGTTGACAAATTCCTGTTGTGAAGACCCAGGTTCAAATCTACTCTTTAACTTGCTAGCCAAGGCCTTGGATACGGGACTAATGTTTCCAACCTCAGTAACTCCCCGGGGCTGCTGTGACTCAGGTGTTAGCCAGCGTTTGGCATTACAAGTGTCAGAAACTCAATGTGAATTGTCTTAAGGATAAAAGAAGAGCTTATTGGCTCACCTAGTTAGTGAGAAAGTCCATGTTTGGACCCAGCTTCAGGTATAGCTGGATCTAGGGGTCAAATTATGCTGTCAAGCTGTCCCACCTTCTGGTATGCTCCCTTTCTTTCTCTTTCTCCATATCTTGACTCTTTTTCTTCTTCTTCTTCTTTTTTTTTTTTTTTAAGACTTTATTTATTTATTTGACAGAGGGAGAGATAGCGAGAGCAGGAACACAAGCAGGGGGAGTGGGAGAGGGAGAAGCAGGCTTCCCGCGGAGCAGGGAGCCCGATGTGGGACTCGATCCCAGGACCCTGGGATCATGACCCGAGCCGAAGGCAGACGCCGAACGACTGAGCCACCCAGGGGCCCCATGTCTTGGCTCTCCTTGTTCTTGTCCTCGTCTGTAAAATGGGCACACCCACAGTACCCTGCCCACATGGTCATCGTGAGCGCAAGGACAGTGAGTGAGTGTCATGCGCTTAGCAGATGACCAGCTCTTGATCTGGGAGAAGCATCAAGCACCCATCCCATTACTGTTTGTTGTTATTTCAATACAAAATACAAGCCAAATAGCCGAAGGATGGTGCAGGGAAGTAAGAGTCTTTATTTTTTTCTCTGGGGATTATTAGGTTTGCATCCTCACTGAGCTCAGTAGCCTCAGGGTGGAGGGAAATAAGCACACAGTTAATTAAAGAGCCCGGGCTCCAGCGGCAGGCCAGCCCCACTGGAGCCCTCAGAATTCGCACTGCCCTTGGCTGGCTGGTGGCGGGCGGGGCTGAGGCCTGCTCAGGCTGCTTCCTAAGGAACTCAGGGGAGGAGAGCTTGTTGGGACCAGAGGTGGCTCTGGAGGTGGCATCTCGCTCCCTGTCTCTGCCTTCTTCATCTCTCTTGTCTCTTTGACTTGTCCTCTGTCACCTTGTGGCATGCCCACGACCTCAGTGTGTGTAGGGGTGAATGAGTGAATGAATGAAAAATGAATCTGACTGGCTCACTCATGTTCCTGTGCCAGGACGAGAGCCCAGTCGTGATAGGCTTCCCTTGGTCCAGTAGCTGTGTTGGGGCAGCAGGATGTGCAGGTGATCCACAGGCCTGCCACCTGCCAGACTGTCTGTCAGGGTGTGAGGCGGGGGAAGGAGGCAGGGGAGGGAAGGAACTCAGAGAACGGAGGGGTGGGGGGGGAGATTTTAGCTCCCAGACCAGCTCAGGTCCTACCTCCCCCTGGAAGCCTCTATGGAGCCCCTTGCTGGGGTAGGGCCTTCCCTGGCCCCCAGCTTTTCTGTTGCCCCATCAAAGCTGCCTGGCCAAGTCTGTCTCTGCCATCAGTCTGGAGTCTCTGGCCCTGGGATCAGGCCTGGTTCATCCCTGTGGCCCCAGCATTGAGCTCAGGGCTGGCCCACAGCGGGTGGGCAGAATGTGCTGGGCTGAATGAATGAATGAATGAATGAAAGGGTGCCTGTATGCAGAGGGAAGAGGAAGAGCCCCAGTGCCTTCTTGCTGGTTGCCATCGGACTCAGGGACTCTTCCTCTTCTCCCTGGTCACACCACCTCGCTTGGACCTGCTGGGGGTCTAACTCGGCTTGACCACCCCCCTCAAGGGCCAAGCAGGCTCCCTCCGGTCCCGGCACCGGGATGCCATGGAGAGAGGCTGGCTTGGCGCCTCCGACTGTGGTGGATAGAGCGTTCTAATGCTCCCTGCACATTAGCATGCTGAACCCACGTCTCTCGTAAGGTGTTAATTAAATTTCTTCGAAGTATATTGTCTGAAAAAAAAAAAGGATAATTAGAAAGATGTCTTTAAAAGTATTTATGTAACTGATATGGTACTGCTTTTGGTTTGCCGCATAATTAGATTTAAACACAACTCCTCGAGCGGCATACTCATTTGGAGATAGCTGCTTGTTGAAATGTCATTGCGTTGTTTTTAAGAGTTTTGAGCCTGGCAAAATCATTCAGCTGAGGAGGCTGAACGTGGCAGGGAGAACACTGAACTGGGAGCACGGAGCTGGGTTCGTGTCCCACAGTCTCCCTTTATTCCCTGGCACGCCGGGGGCCACTCTCTCAGTGCCATCGTCTGCGGAACCAGAGGGCTATGGTGGGCTTCCCGGAACAAGAAGTTACATTCCGGCAGCTCTTTTAATTTTCTGATAATTTTTGCTTAGTGAGGTAGCTCCATTTTACAGGCAAGCAAAGCAAGGCCAAGTTGAAGGTCATACATTAGTGATAAGGGGCAGAGCTGGGGTTTGAATCTTGGTCTTCTAATTCCAGGACTCTTTTCCTACACACCCCTGGGAGACCCTTGTTTTTGTTTTGTTTGTTTTGTTTTTAAAGATTTTATTTATTTATTTGAGAGAGAGAGAGAGGGAGAGCACGAGCTGGGGGCGGGCAGTGGGGGAGGGACAAGCAGACTCCCCACTGAGGCTTGATCCCAGGACCCTGAGATCGCAACCCGAGCTGAAGTCAGATGCTTAACCGCCTGAGCCACCCAGGCGCCCCGGAAAGCCCTTGTTTTAAAAATGATGGGACCGGGGCGCCTGGGTGGCTCAGTCGTTAAGCGTCTGCCTTTGGCTCAGGTCATGATTCCAGGTCCTGGGATCGAGCCCCGCATCGGGTTCCCTGCTCGGCAGGAAGCCTGCTTCTGAACCCTCTCCCACTCTCCCTGCTTGTGTTCCCGCTCTTGCTGTGTCTCTCTCTGTCAAATAAATAAATAAAATTTTAAAAAAAAAAAATAGGGCGACTGGGCGGCTCAGTTGGTTAAGCGACTGCCTTCGGCTCAGGTCATGATCCTGGAGTCCTGGGATCGAGTCCCACATCGGGCTCCCTGCTCAGCGGGGAGTCTGCTTCTCCCTCTGACCCTCTTCCCTCTCGTGCTCTCTATCTCTCATTCTCTCTCTCAAATAAATAAATAAAATCTTTAAAAAAAATAAAAATAAAAATAAAAATGATGGGACCATCTCAGAGTTTAGAAAAACTGCCTTGGTTTCATGTGCTCCTGTGAAATCCCCGCTTTCCCACGCGGCTCTCCCTGGGTGCTGTGTGTGCTCCGAGGGGCGCTGCAGGGGGACAGCTCTCTCACTAGGACCAGAGACTATAGCCCTTGCATTGTTGATGGGGCTGATGGCGTGCCTGAGGGGATGAAACTGGTTTTTAGGGGGTGAAAAAAAGCTTATTCTTCTTATTATAAAGCCAAACATACATACATGAACACGTATACAGCTGTCTGTGGTGTTAAAATCTCATGGGAGGGGAGCGAGTAGGGAAAAAGCAGCTAAAGAGGCCCCACGGGGGGTGATGGGAGAGAGGGTTAGCAGTAGCCAAACAGTGGGTTAGCTGCCACAATCGCACTGTGCCCACTGGTGCTCCCCACTCGTTACCTCCTTGGACCCTCCGAGGGCCCCGTGTTATAGAAGGGAAACTGAGGCCCAGGGGAACACACATTTTTGCCCGGCTGGCGAGCAGGAGAGTCAGGACTCAGACCCCTGATGTCCCACTGGGAAGGCTGGGCACACTGTCTGTGTTTGGGGTGGATGTGGTCCGAGCGGACGGGGCTGTGAGCTGTGGCTTTGGCCACGGGCTGGACATGGGTCACCTGCAGTTTCTTCTCTCCCTGCAGGGTGGACCCCGTGCCTCATGATGCCCCAAAGCCGCCCGGCTACACCCGCTTCGTCTGTGTGTCTGACACCCACTCGAGGACAGACCCCATCCAGATGCCCTACGGCGACGTGCTGATCCACGCCGGGGACTTCACAGAGCTGGGGCTCCCAAGCGAGGTCAAGAAGTTCAACGAGTGGCTTGGTAGGTGCTGGGCAGGAGGTGGCCTTGCTCTGCTCCCCGGGGAAGCCCTCCCTGACCTCCCACTCTCTGTCACACCTCATCTCCTACCCCAGCCCCTGTCTCAGCCGTGACTTGTTTGTGCAATTCTTTTGGCCTGGGAGATGCCCTCCCGAAGGGATTTTGCTCAGGTCTATTTATGTCCACTGGCGTGTCCAGCCCCCCATGCCTGGTACAGGTAGGTGTTGAACAAATAATTGGTGAGTGAATGAATGAATGAATGAATGCCTCTCTGGGAATGGTGATGTCCGGGCAGGCACCACCCACCGCCCTTGTGATGGCTTCCCCAGTGAGGGGACCTGCCAACAGGGGACCCACGCAGGCCCTCCCGGGGGCAGCTCTGGGTAGGGGCAGCTGAGCGCTGTGGGCAATGGTGGGCGATGATTTATAAGCATACCCCCAGGGATTTGTCTTCAGCTTTTTGCTTTCTTCCCAAACAAAAAACAACATGAATATGGAGCGCCCCTGGGAAAAGCCGCTTGCTTGGAATCCAGAGAAACCTCCGAGGGTGTTGTCTCTGCTGTGGCCCGGGGGACAGATGGAGGGCCCCTGGGTGGCCTCGCTACAAGCTTCCGGTCTTGGAGGTGTGGGTGCAGGGCCGGCCCACCTTGGGGCCCAGCCCCGCTCCCTGGCTGCCAGCCGGTCCCACCCCCAGGGCCCTCCTGCTGCACACTTGGCTGGGAGTTCTGTGAGCAGAGGGCCAGGAGCGGCGCGGGAGGCTGCAGTGAGCAAGGGGCCCAGCTCTACCAGTAGAGACAAATATTTACAAGCAAGGCCTTCCCCTCCGCTTGGCAGTCTTGGAGCTTTAAATATTGATTTTTTGAATGGGAAATTCTGATCAAGTGCCCTGCTTGGGCTGGACCGTGTGAAGGCCGGGGTGGGAGAGAGCTCCTGCAGGGTGGGTCGGCCGCAGGCTTCTGCCCAGCCCCGTGCTGCCTCCTGGCCCTGGCCGCACCCTAGGAGGGGGTCCTCGCTGGCTTCTCGTCCCCCTGGCTGTGGGTCTCCAAAGATGTGAGGCTGCACTTGGCTGAGCCAAGAGCCTATGTCTGAGGCAGATGCCAGGCTCCCACTGTGGGCCAGACAGTATGTCACTTTATTGTTTATGTTCACTTGCGTGAATGAATGAATGAATGAATGACTCTGGGAATGGCGATGCCGGGGGCAGGCTGTGTGTACCGGCATACATGACTTTTGGGAACTAGGTGAATTTAGGGACAGGTGCTGTTTTTGTCCTAATTATGAAGTAGAGGATGTCAGCCCAAGGTTCTCCAGGATGGGGACTGTTTCCGACGAGCCCCCGGCCCACGACGAGGTCCCATCCCTGTGGAGTGGATGAGTGAACCAAACAGGTGGGCCACGTGCTGTTGGTGCAGGGAAAGGGGGCTGTTTCAGGCCGAGGGGACAGCGGAGGCCGTGCGTGCTGGTGGACACTTGAGAGGAGCCACTGTTTGCCGTGGCCGGCGTAAGCGGCTTTGGGACATTGAGGGTCCTGGAAGAGAGGGCTGTGCTGACCACGACTCTGAGCCTCAGCATCACTGGGGGCACAGGGGGCCAGCACGGTGAGCTGGGCATTTTAGAGACATCGTTCTACCTGCCTCTTCACAGAAGTCAGAACAACCATGGGAATTTGGGGGTCTTCATAATTTGCACTTGGAGCTGCATCGATTTATTTGCCTGGGTTATTGCTGGGGGTGGGGAGTGTGAGCTTACAAAGGGGTCTCCCTTTTAGAAAAGGTTCCTCTCCCCCAAGCCTCTCCCCTTGGCTGCCTCAAAGTGTTTGTAGACGTCATTCAAGTAGGGTGGGCTGGGGTTGGGGGGCTTTAGACCCAAGAATGAGGAGTCCCTCTTGTACTTGACTGAGTGGCAAGGAATTCGCTCGTGAGTGAACGTTTAAATCGGAGCAGCTTCTAGAAGTCCATCTGCAGCTGGCTTTTTGGGAAACTGCTTGTTGTACGAAAGTAAGACTCATCCTCCGCGGGCTGGCAGTTCAGGTCCCCGGGGATGTGGTGGTCATGGCTGAGAGGTGGGCGGTGTGCTCATTAGGTCCATGTAGGTGCACCCATCTGGACACATGTGCATCTTTAGACAGCTAGTGTTTAGTGAGCGATAGTACATGCCAGACACTCTTCTATGCCCGTTGTGTGTGTGATCAAATCATTAATCCTCCTGACAACAGAATGAGGCGGGAGCTGTTGTCATCCCCATTTTGCAGAGGAGAAAACCAAGGCCCAGAGAAGTGAAGTGACTCACCCAAGGCCACACAAATAGTAAGGGGCGGAGCTAGGATTCCAAGGCAGGCAGCTGGACTCCAGAGCCGAGCTCATGCTGACCTGTATCTCCTTTCGGTGAAGTCTCTCTGATTCAGTGTAACTGGACTTTGCCAGTTGGGGCCGGATGTCCTGGGTCTGCTTCCTGTCCCACTAATTACAGAGGCCACGTGACCTCTCTGAGCTTCAGTGGCCTCATTTTCGAGGCAGGTGGTCAGACTCCCCTTTGCCCTGCCTCCCTCTTTACAGGTGGGTTGTTTCCAGGCTCCATTAGGATGGAGGAATTGACTGAGTTTTATAAACTGTGAAGTGCTGTGTACCTCGTACTATTGCCCCCACGAGCTGGCATTTGCCAGATCAGGCCTCCCCTTGGGGTAGAGGGAGGGGTCATGGGTGGGTCCCGCAGGAGGGGACATCTGATCATGAGGTCATGAGGCTGAGCAGCAGGGAGAAGGGGTAGAATAGTTTGTGTGCAGAAGTGTGTGGAGTTTCTGAGAAATGTTGATGTATGATCTTAGCTACGTCAGCAGTTCACACACACACACACACACACACACACACACACACCCGGAGAAAAGACCAGAAGGAAGTACTCATTCACCCGTTCAGTCTATCTCATTGAGAACCCACCACGTGCCACGTGTGTCTCAGGCACTGGGGTGACAGTGGGGCGGGAGGAACAGGGCACGCTCGCATTCTGATGATGGGGACATGGTGCATCCAGGGAGGCGGGCTCGTGTTCACGTAGGCCTGCGGGCCAGGGACCAGAGTTTGGGGTTGATTCTAAGTGCAATGGGGATTTGGGGGAGGTTCATTAGGGGAGTGACCTTTAAAAAGGTGTTCGAAGGCCTGGATTGCAGAGTTAGATTGGAAGCAAGGAGACCAGTGAGGGCAAAATCTCTGGAATGTGCCAGAACCGATGTCTGAGTGGGAGGATCATGGGGGATTTTCTTCTTTATGGTTTTCTCTCTCTTCCACCTCGATTTTCTGTAGGGAGCATGTGTTATTCTGGTGGCATCATATCAAGGGAACAGTAAAATCTTAGTTTTTTAAAATATTTATTTGAGAGAGAGAGCATGAACAGGGGGAGCGGCGGGCAGAGGGAGAAGCAGGCTCCTCACTGAGCAAGGAGCCCGTTGCGGGGCCCGATCCCAGGACCCCAGGATCATGACCTGAGCCAAAGGCAGATGCTTCACCAACTGAGCCACCCAGGTGCCCCAAAATCTTATTGCGTTTAAAGAAACCTTGGCCTCTCTGGTATCTGGTACAGGGTGGGGGTGAGGGCAGCACTGGCCTCAGGCCAGTCCTAGTGTCATCCAGCCACTCAGGAGGTCACCTGGAGCCCTTCCCTAGGCTAGCAGGGCCCCACCTGCCTCACAGCCCCACTGGCCCAGGCTCTTCTCGGATAAGAAGCTTACAGATTTGAAATTCACAGCCGGCTTCTTCCCTGTTCATTGATGTCATGGAAAGCATTTAAAATCATATTCCAGGGGCCACCTCCAGACAGACAAGAGGAGATTTAAGAAGTTAATAAAGGCCTTCTTTATAAGTCAAGATTAGGCACCTAACTGGGGGTATGTGGCTAATTTCAAGCTGACTCTAATTTGCTGGCAGGTGCATTGCTCTGGCCTTGGCCGTGAGTGGTGACCATGTTCTGCCCATTTACAGGGTTCTTTCTGGGTCTGAGTTCGTTGGAGGGGGTGGGATTGGGGGGGGGTGACAGGGTTCTCCTGAGAAGACCATTAATATCTTGGCCATTAATATCCCAAATATATTCGTGAAATAGAAATGCCAGCTTGATTTGTAAATGTTCCAGGGAACAGCTAAACAATTGCTAAGGACAGGCTTTTCAGCTCTAAGGAGAGAAAGGGACAGCAAAACTTGCTGAAAATGGAAGAGAATGTGCTAGGAGCGCCTTGCTCCTCCACCCCTAAAGACCTCAGTGTCACCCGAGCCACACTGGCTAACTGCAGGCCTTGTTCTCAGCTCTGGGTCTTGGCTCATGCTCTCCCCCCAGTGGAGAACATTCCTCCTCCATCCTATGGAGTCCTGCCCACCCTCCGGGGTCGCTGCCTGTGAAGGCTGCCCCACCCCATTGGGCAGCATTGGTCTCTCTTCCCTCTGTGTATCTGTGTACTCACAGCTCCCCATTCAGGCCCTGGTGGCGGCCCTCACTTCGTGGCAGGGAATTATCTGTGCCTTCATACCCCTGTCCCCCACCTAGACCGGCAGCCCCTGAAGGGCAGGGCTGAGCCTCATCCCCAGCAGCAGCCAACGCTCGGCCCCAGGAGGCCCTGGACAGAGGCTGTGGGTGCGGGCTGGCCTGGCGTGAGTGGGGCACTGGTGCACGGTGAGCCCGTCACTGTGTCTCCAGCAGGCCGTGCACAGCCAGCTGCCGTTGGGGGGGAATAGCAATAAGAGGGGGCTCTGAGGGGCGTAGGCTGTTGCAACATGGAATTTGGGGTGAGTGTGAGAAGACCCAGGGTCGGAGGCTGAGTTGGAGTCTCCACGATGAGGCCAGGAGGTGAGGCCAGCAGGGATCTGGACCCAAGCAAAGTGGGCCAGGTATGTCAGGTGGGCGTATGGGGACCCGCTCGGAGGCCAGGGCTGCTGAGGGCAGGAGGAGAGGCTGAGCCCCAGTGCTCCCACCTCCCAGGATGCCGGCTGACCCGAGGCCTCGGCACCACGCACATCTGA